TAAATTTAGAACTAAGGCTGGATCCCAAGTCTCTTGACTTTGAGTCCAGAATTCTTTCTAGAATGCTGCTATTCAAAGTGTGGTCTGCTCACCAGCAGCATCTACGTGACCTCAAGTTTATTATAAATGTAAACTCTCAGGCCTCACCTCGTACCGACCAAATCAAACTGCATTTTGTCAAGATCCCCAGGTAATTCTCATGTACATTTAAGTTTGAGAGGCACTGACCTAGGACATCACAGAGCCTCCTGTTTCTTTCCTGACAAGAAGGTTGTATACAATTGAATGAGGGACTATCTCAAGCAGTTTGGCCTCATTGTTCTCTCTTGAACCCAAACAATTCTGAATCAGACTGATCAGATCTTTAAAGATGCAGACTGAGCACTACCAACCCCAGTCCGGGCTTATCCAGGGCAATCTCTGGGGGCCGAGCTGAGTGATCCAAATCTGTGTCGTGCTGCTTTCTCTCCTTGGAAGAGAGGCAGTACAGCAGAGCAGTGAACCTTTGGGCTCCGGAGTCAGTCTGCTTGGGCTCAGTTCCTGGCTCTACCACTTCAGGTTTGTGAACCTAGATGAGCTTCTCATCTTTTCTATACCTCGATTTCCTGTTGAGGTGTAAATGAGTTAATATATGGAAACCACTTAAAATCTGCCACTTAGCAAGAAAAATGTGTTAGTTACTTCCAATTTTTCCAGGACCCCTTCCAAGTAGAATCAAAATCCTAAATCGACTCAGTGTCTAGGAATTTCTCAAGACTCTATCTTCTGGGATGAGAGGAAAAACCCTGACCACGGTTCCAGGAGACAGTGTGTTCATGGATCTAGAACCACACTCCAGTAGTCAGAACTACATTGTCATCAGAAGGCAGACTAGGGAGAATGGGCTGTCCTTGGCTGAAAGCATTTGGTCCCCTGGCATGTGATTCTCCATTGCCTGTCACTAACATTTCTGTTCAGTCATCACAGAACTTTAAGGAAGCGCACATAGGTTTCAATACATTAAGTTTCAGAATCATTCTCAATACAGCAGAGGGAGCAGGATGCTGGGAAACTTTAAACCGACATTACGACATGGCCATACTACTTTTTTTTTTTTTTTTAAAGCTTTCTTCAAGCCAAATGTATTTTCATTCTGTTCATCTCTTAGAGCTTTAAAATCTGTGGGCTGACTTATAAATGGATAAATAAAGATTATTCTTTTAAAATCATTATATCGAAGTTGAAAGTTGTAATGTGGTCTTGATGGAGACATTGAAGCAGAATTCATCTTCTTCCTGAATAAGCATCTGTGGATTTTGCAATATGGCCTTTTAAGTTTTCTATACCAGCCAGCAATTAAATCTCAAAGTTCAAAATTTCTTAAAGTTCACTTTACATATTCCCTCAGTCAGTGCTTCCTAATATCTCTACCAATTTTAATATATGCTAAATTCCCTTTAGAAAATGAAAGAAAGCCAAGAATAATTTAATGAAATGTCTAAACTCACTTTTAAATGATTTTAATTTCAAATATAAGGCATGTTATGAACTAAGAGACGGCATAAATGAATATAAAATGAAAATTACCCAACAATGAAAAATTTATTATTCTGCAATAAACCAACCATACAGGACATGTCACAAACATTACAAAAACTAACTGAAGAGCCTAAAGGCAGGAACACATAGCAAAGATATTCGCAATAAACCCTTGGTTTGAAACCTACTCCTTCTAAAATAAAACTATTCCTAATGTTTTACCTTATAAGAAGAACATTTATGCCCTGGCCGGTTTGGCTCAGCAGTTAGAGTGTCGGTCCTCAGAACAAAGAATCATGGGTTCCATTCCGGTCAAGGGCACGAACCTCAGTTGCAGTTTGGTTCCTGGCCTTGGTCAGGGTCATGCAGGAGACAACCAATAGATGTGTCTCTCTCACATCGACGTTTCTGTCTCTCCCTCCCACTCTGTCTGAAGATAAATGGAAACATACCATCAGGGGAGGATTAAAAAAGAAGAACATTTATTATATAACCTTTTGGTTGGAATTAGAGGAGTAAGAAGTATGGAATTGTAGCACAGTCAAGTTCTCATTTAATATCATTGATAGGCTCTTTAAGGAAAATGACATATAATGAAACCAATTCTACCATAGGCTAGTTGATATTCAACAAGAGTTAAGTTCTTACAGCATCTCATCAATGTTATAACAAAATGACATTGAATGAAAGAACATTATTTGAGGACCTGCTGTACTAAAAAGAGATTGTGGAAGTTATCTTTCTTCCAATGAGAAACTGAAGTCTCACAGGGGCAAAGTGGTATCAGGAGCAGGGTCCCAGAGTCTAAGGTAGTCTCTGAAGGATGATATCAGAAATAATGGGAAACTTGAGCTCAGTACCTGAGTAGTCAAAAAGAGCCCTGGATAGGTCCCCCCAAAACTGGGCATGGTCTTCGTCACTGCATACTGCTGTGACAAAATTGACTATAATGATTCCTCCCAGATCCAGCTGGCAATCAGAAGACATGTGCTGTGTAACAGATGAAGCACATTTTGCTTTGACTCAGTTCAGCACTGCTGAGGTTTCATTGACTCAAGGTCCCCCTCATTATAGACCAAGAGAGATTTGGCACTAGGGGCCAATGTTAGACTGACTGGCTACTTCCTCCTCAATCCTCACTGACCACTGTGTGTCATATATTTACTTGTCAGGTTTTTTTTTTCTTTAATCATAAAGAAATTCTAATGCAAGGATGGTAACAGATGTATCATAGAGAGCCAAAAAAATAAAATGGCTAATAGCACACGCTCTCTGGTCACATTGTCGAGATTTAAACCTTGGCTCAACCACTTACTAGCAGTGATCTTATTTAAGTTATGTAATATCTCTATACCTATTTTCTCTATGGTAAAATGGAGATAATTATAGTGTTACCACATGGATTTGTTATTAAATGAGAAAACAGAGAGAGAGAGTAAAGATGAATCCTGTTAGTAATCAAACTGCAGTGTTTACAATGGAACGTCAACACACTGTTTCTAATAGACCATATCCAAGGCCACACCACTGGTACAAAATGACTAACAGTTCCTTCTTCTGAGTGATTTCTGCTTTCTTACCAACATCATCCTTGGTCCTTTGTTGTCTTTTTTTTCCTCCAAAGTATTGTGATGCACAATAGATGAACTGTTCTTGCTTCTTGATAACCTTTATTTCAAAACAAGTCCCTGCTTTCCTTACACCACCTTAAAATTACCCGACATAAGTACAGATCTTATAACAAGTCCCTCAACTCATTCATATAGAGACACCCTTAGGTGTATGCACTTTCTTGCTGCAGCAAGCTAATTAAACCTAACCTTGTTTGAGTTCAGGTGTGTTCGTGGTGGTCTTTGGCTGATGGGCTTCCATAACACTGAGCAAATACTATAGCACACTATATGAATGAGAAATTCTGACTATTGGCAATAGTAGGCAAATCTTTTTTACTTCAGCTTCTTTGTGTAGCACACCTCAAGACATATTTGTTCAATGAAGGGCCATCCTTTTTTTTTTTTTTTATCCTCACCCGAGGACATTTTTTTTTTTTTTTTGCATTTATCTTCAGATAGAGTGGGAGGGAGAGAGGGGGAAAGAGAGAGAGAGAGAAACATCGATGTGAGAGAGAAACATCGACTGGTTGCCACCCACACGACCCCAACCGAGGCCGGGGACAAACTGCAACCAAGGTACATGCCCTTAGCGGGAACTGAACCCGGGACTCTCTAGTCTGCAGACCGACACTCTAACCGCTGAGCCAAACTGGCCAGGGCAAGAACCATTCTTATGTAACAGGGAAACCAGTTAGCATGGTTAAGATGAAGGAATACATTTTTTCCCCTCTAAGGCTCAAAGCATTATTTAGAATTCCATGGCATGACTGCAAAAGCAATTGGCGAAGTGGAAGAGCAAGCAAAGCAAAGATTTTGAGCCTACTGAAGTTCAAGTAGTAACCATGCATTGATCATTGCCTGGACCTTTTAAGCCAGGCTGGCCAGATAGCTATAAAAAGAGGGTGTTAAAGTAGCTAAACTTTTAAGTTCTTATTTCTAAATTTCTACTAATACCTATTTGACAAATTAGAAAGCAGACTTTTGGAGTAAAATTAATGCTCAAGGCACACACAGGGTGATTAGGCTAGGTCTGGAACCAAAGACAGGACTTTGTACAGAAGTCTTTCTTGTACACAGCTATCAATTGCTGTGTCACAAATCACCCTAAAACTTAGTGACTCAAAATAAGAGTAATCACTTATTCTTTTTAGTAGTATCTTCTGTCAGGAACCCTTGAGTTCCTTGGCTAGGTTCAGGCTCAAGGTCTTTCATGAGTTGCAGGGGCTGGAGTATCCACTTCCTATGTGGCTCACTTTTGGCTGGAAAGTTGGTCCCTCTTCATATTGGTCCCTCTCTATAGGGCTGTTGGAGTGTCTGAAAGACATGAGCACTGTCTTTCCCCATAGATAACAATCCAAGGGACCAAGACAGAAGTAGCAATACCTTTTATGACACAGTCCTGGAAGTCACACACCATCGCTTTGGCCATATTCTATTGCTAACACATGCCAGCCCTGTTTCAGTGCAGGCTCCGCCCACCTGTCAGTTGTGCTATTTTGGACCAGCACCAAATTCTGAGTCTGCGTTCCCTCATTTAGAATATAAAAAAAACAACTTTCTTTTAGGGCTGTTTCGAACATAAACCAATATAAGAAAATCAAGTGCTGCTTAGTACTATAATGTACTAAGCGGGCATTACTTAGAAGTGACCTCACTTCTTTAAGAAGCCTGTCCCTAGTATGCCTCATTCTTCTCAAGTTTAAACTCCGAACATACTTTTTTCTAACCCTCCGGAGAAAGAATCAGTCCCTCCCCTCCCCACACCAACTTCAATCCAAAGTAGGACTATTCCGGAGGCAGAACTTTAGTTCCGGGGGCTGATCCCGGTGCACGGAGCTCATTGAGAAACGGACCGGAAGGAGTTCCTACGGCTCTCTTTTCGTGCGGAGGGCGCCGGCGGACAGCCGGTAGGACGGCTCCAGGAGGGTTGTGGTGGACGCCTGACAACAACGTGGGGACTCCCTGAAAGCAGAGCGGAGGGGACCCGGAAGTGTAGCCACCCGAGCCCTGTCGGCCCCTCCATGCTTGGTTGGAGGCTGCTGGCTCAGGCCGGCGCCCAGGTGCTGGGCCGCGGAGCCGGGGGCCTGGACGCTGCCCGGGGCTCCGGAGGCAGGTGAGTGGGCGGGAGACGGGGCGTGAGGGTTGCTCCCTGCAAACTCCGCTTTAAACAGTGGCGTGGCCCGGACTGCGGTGTCTGCCCTCGGAGGAAGAGGAGGGGGCTGTGTCCAGACCTGAAGTGTAGAAGAGTAAGGCGCGTTTATCTAAGGAAGCCCTTTAAAGGACGGAAGGGGTGATTTTTGTTTTGTTTTTAATGCTTATGAGCAACAGGCCGCGAACATTACCAACAGCAATAATGTTATCTGCCAACTAGTGAGCGTTTTCTATGTACTAGATGCTGTTAAGTATATTAGGCGCCTTAGCTCATGTATCCTCGCGAGAGAACTATCATTATCTGTTTTACAGAAACTAGCATTATTCCTCTTTGCAGATAAAACGGAGGCTTGGGCGGGAGAGGTAATTTGCCCACTGTCACTCTCTTAAGTGCAAAATTGGGACTCTCATCTGAATAATCTGCGTGACTACAAAAGGATAGACTCCAGAAAGCTTTCCTTCTGTTCTGACCCTCCCTGCAAAAGCCACACACCTCCTTCCAAACCTCAGTCCCCTAAAGTCTTTCTTGGTGTGTACACCTGAGCAGAGGTCATGTCTTTTACAGGTCTTTTAAATTTACACATGGAGTTTTTCCATCTCTCTGAGCCTAGACCATGCCATTGCAGGGAAGAGGTGAGCTTATCATAGAAAGATCAACATTCCATATTCTACCACTTCTACTGGATATGAACTATTAAGGTTCACGTACAAATGGCTTCTCCTGTGCCTAGGTAGGGCCACTTTGTTAGAAAACTGTTTAGCCCAGAAGAGAAGGTGAAGAACGTTTCCTCCAGAGTAGCTATTAACAGTTAAAATGTAAGCCCCATTATTATCATAAAGTGTCGAGGGGGGAAAGCTTACATGGAATCCAAGCCTTTCTTAAAGCCCTGATGACACTTTCCGATCCATGTGAACTCCTTTTTCTGTATTAAATAGAGAAACTTTTTCATCGTGGTTTGTTTTTTAATTTTTATTTTTACAGAACAGACATCTGGCTTTTGGTTAGAAGTCTCCATGGCAAGAGTGGTACTTGGTGGGATGAGCATCTTTCTGAAGAAAATGTTACATTTGTTCAGCAGTTGGTCTCTGATGAAGATAAAGCCCAATTAGCAAGTAAACTGTGTCCTCTGAAAGATGAACCGTGGCCTATACATCCTTGGAAACCAGGTGATTATTTTGTATATGAAGAGTTCTCCTAATTACTTTGTGGCTGGCACATTCAGAATTTTAGTGACTCCTTGATAGGTTTATCATCTCTTGAATTTATTGTTCTGACAATAAATTAAGTATTTGTCTGTTTCATTTTGGTTTGGTTTGCAAGCTGATTTTCACCATCCTATGCTGCTGTTAGTGAATGTCTGATGATAATCAAGACCTAACTAAAGATGATGTTTTGTATGTGAAATGAAAATCATTCTGCATACATTTTCTTGTTTCCTTCAGATAAAAAATAATATAAAAATAAACCAGGGAAAAAAATCTGGCAGCGTGTGATCTAATTGTGTCACACAGATGTCTTCAGTTGGGATGTTCTAGCACTCCAGGTTTGCCAAGTGTAACTGCAGAGTCAGCTCTTTGTGCCTGTTAATGCCAAACCCATCTGTGGACAGACTGAGAAGAAGGCCTTTCCTGTTAGGAAAGTGATCTCTCGTTGGGGTTATTACAACAATTGAATTGTACAATGGAGCAACTGTATCAGTTTATGCAACAAATCTATGTTGAAGGCCAACATATTTTATCAATGTGACCACATGTCATCCTTATAACTCCAGCTGACTTTTTAGAATTTGAGTGGTGTTTTCTAATTAATGAGGTTTGATATTGATACTAGGAAAGGATAATGAGGGATTTATCATACCCTTTATTAATACTGCTGTTTTAAAACCAGAATATATCCATTTAGCTGTTTTCTTTATTTTGTATAGTTCTCTTATATTTGTTTAATATACAGAGATGTATTGAGTACCAGTATCTTATGTCGGGCATAGTTGAAGGTGCTTACACCTGTAAGGAACATTTGTGTTTACTCTAGGAATATAGCAGCATCTTTCTTATTTGCCTGCTCTTTATTTTGAAACCACAATTTAGGAAATACTGTTGCATCATGTTGGCAAATGTTGAAAAAGCTCATGTTAACATTCATTTGTTTTTAATTGACAGGTTCCACTAGAGTAGGCCTTGTCGCAGTGAAGCTGGGCATGATGCCTTTATGGACCAAAGATGGTCAAAAGCACGTGGCCACATTACTTCAGGTAAGAAACAGGAGATGTAACAGATCTGTATGTGTGCCAAGTTCTGTCTGTGCAAATCTAAATGGGCAACATTTGTATCCTGAAACATGTAAATGCGTGGTGAAGAATAGGTTAATGTTGAGCATAAACACTGTTCAAGAACTTTACTTCTGATGGTTGCAGTGAATGTTCTCACTCTTACCTGAATGGTGGCCTTCTTGTACCTGGCATGGGATCACTGGGGCAATTAACAAAAAGAGATTGTTAACAATTGTAACCCAGTTTCTCACAGATCTAATTGTTTAATTCATGATCAGAAAAAAAATATCTCAGTTTCATCTTATTTTCATTATGGAGTTCTTTCAACTCCAAAATAATTTTGATCTCTGCTAACTCAGAACGTAACACTCTTATCAGGGGAAGCAGCATTTTGCTCTCGGAGATAAGGTAAACTCTAATGTTAAAAACATGGGCCCTAGGACCAGAATATCTGACTTTACGTCTTGGTTCTGCCACTTCTTAGCTGTGTTCTTTGGAGCACTGTGCCTCATCTATAAACTATGTACTGTTTTATAAAAGAAATAATTATGATCTACCTCAAAATGTTATTGTAAGGATTGCATACGTTGATAAATGTTAAGCACTTAAAATGTAAAACAGTATTAAATGTCCAATAAGTGTTGGCTGCTGCTGCTGCTGTTGTTGTTATTGTTATTATTATTATAAAAGATTACTGATAAAATTAGGAGACCATCATTCCCCAAATCACATTGGACAGCTCAGTTCATCTTCGGGCCCAACCTTAGACAACTGATTAGGCAGGTGATGGTAATTAAGAATAAGAGCTCACGCACATTAAGTGCTTAGAGTGCTAATAGGCACAAGGAGCCTACAAGCCCTTCATAAATTTTTATTGACTCTGAATGATCAAGGATAGGATTCTAGTTTCTAGAGCAGTAAGGGACTTTGGGAGCTTTTAGGAATAACTGGTGGAATTGTAAATTGGTATGACCACTTCAGAAAATAATTTAGCCTTATGTTGTAAAGTTGAGATAAGTAACCCTTGTAGTCAAGTGGTTCCATTTGTGAGTGTTTCTAGAAGATTTAAGCAGATATACACCATGCAAGTTGTACCAACAGTGTTTATAGCAGTATTACTCTTAATACTCTAAGACTAGATATAACCCAAATGTCCATCAACGATAGAATGGGTAAACTGAGGTATATTCCTGTGATGGAATGCTGGGAGCAGTGAAAAGGAACAAAATGGAGCTACATGCAGCACTACGGGTGAACCTTACAAATGTAATCTTGAGAGAAAGAAGTAAGACATGGAAGAGTACATGCAACCTGACTCCATTTATATAAAGTTTGAAGCAGACAACAGTATTATTAAGCAATACTTTCAACGATAGTAATTATAAAGAAAAGGAAGTAAAGGATTACCATAAATGTCAAGAGTAGTGGTTACTTCTAGGGCAGTGCATCTCAAACAGTGTGCCTAAGAATCACCTGGAAGGCTTCTAAAACACAGAGGTTCTGATTTAGTAGGTCTCTGCTGAGGCCTGAGAATTTGCATTTCTACCAAGTTCCCAGGTGATGCTGATGCTGCTTGTCTGTGGACCACACTTTGAGAGCCACTGTTATAGAGGTTTGCAAAAGAAAAAAGGGTGGAAGGTGATTGGGAAAAGACACACAGAGGTTTTAGGGATTCTACTTCTTGACATTGGTGGTGGTGATGTGCATGTTTTCTTTATAAATACTCATTCTGTTGTATGTGTTTTATGCATTTTTTATGCGTGTTGTATTTGACACTTTTTTTCAAAGGTTATCTATATTTTAAGATTGTGGTTCGTGTTAGAGGAATGATGAGAGAAGTAACTTCAGGGAATTCCTAATTGTCTGGGGCTTCAATATGACTGGTGTGTAATGTTAAAATGTATCTTAGTTGTACAGACTTAGTTGTTTTTTATATTTCTGTTTTTAGGTACAAGACTGCCATGTCCTAAAATATACTCCAAAGGAAAACTGGGATGGAAAAATGGCAGCCCTGACTGTAGGAGGGAAAACTGTATCCCGTTTCTATGTAAGGATGTATTTTATTAGTTTCCGACCTGAATCTTTAAATTTTGAGCATATTCCATTGCCAAAAACTTGTCTTTGTCCATGAGATAAATTGTGGGTGTGGGAGAGGCAGTCCAGTAGAGCCATAAAGCCTAGGAATCTGAGAGACTGAGTTTGTTACAGTACCTCTCCTCACTATCTGGAACAAGTACCGCACCCTGTAAGCTGCAGTATTAGCCCATCTGTAAAATGGGGATAAAACTACTGCTGAGGATAGACGTTTATGCCAGGATTACATGAGAATTTTCCAATGTGCCTGCATGTCACAGACATTCCATAATAATCTTTTTGGTTATTTTGTTGTCATTTTATGTTTAGTTTGACTTTTTTTTCTAAATTGTTTTAACAATCAACACCAACAGCAGGTGAGGGTTAATTTTGTATATATTATTATTATTATTTTAATCCTGACTCAAGGATATGTTTTTATTGATTTTAGAGAGTGAGGAAGAGAGAGAACCATTGATGTGAGAGAGAAACAATCAGTTTGCCTCCCATATGCACCTGACTGTGGATCAAACCCACAACCTGGGCATATGCCCTGATCATAAATCAAACCCACTACCTTTCAGTGTACAGGATGACACTCCAACTGAGTACTCGGCCAGGGCAATTTTGTATAGAAGGAGCTTTCAATATTGGGAGAGAGCTGTATACAAACCCACAACAGAATTTTTCAAATGAAGAATTTTTTCCCAAATAGAATACTAATAGAATGCTGAGTGTGTAGTTTAAATTTGAAAAATCTGCACAATTAGTATCCTTAATCTGATGACTAAAAGCATAGAATACACTTCTAGAAATAATGATGGTTTTCACTAATGAATACTGAAGCATCTTTAGGTTTACTAAAACATTGCTTATCTTCAAGATACACATTTTTCCATTGTAAATTGTTTATAGAATGAACATTGGTGGAAATTAGGATGCAATTTATATTATGACACTGTCAAACTAGCAAGTGCTGCCCTGGCCGGTTTGGTTCAGCGGTTAGAGCGTCGGCCTGCGGTCCAGAGAGACCCTGGTTCAGTTCCCGCAAAGGGCGCGTACCTCAGTTGCAGTTTGTCCCAGCCCTGGTTGGTCGTGCGGGTGGCAGCCACTTCATGTGTCCCTTTCATGTCGATGTTTCTCTCTCTCTCTCTCTCTCTTTCTCTGTCTCCCTCCCACTCCATCTGCAAAACATGGGGAAAGAAAAATGTCCTTGGGTGAGGATAAGAAAAAAACTAGCAAGTGCTTATTGTGTGCCTCCTGTTTCCTTGTCATTGGTGATTGTTATTGAGCACTTACTACATGCGAGCACTTACTTCGTGCATAGGCATTAATCCTTTACATTTATTAAGTGATCTTCTCAGCCTCTGAGGCTAAAGAGAGTTAGTAATTCACGCAGGTCCACCCACTGTTAAGAGGTAGAGTGACAAGCAGACACCAGAGCCTTACTCTGGAAACAGGTAAGAGAATGGGGAAGATGGACAAGTAAATCAGCCATCTCAGACAGTATTATAAATACAACAAGCGCAGAATAGGGCATGGCCACTTCTGTTTGGACAAATCTGCGATTTCACAGGAAGGAGACCAGAAAGGAGAATGTATTAAAGGCATGCCAGAGGGAATGGTCTGTGTAGAAGCAGAGACGTGGAAGAGTATGTGTGCTTGGAAAGACAAGTGTGGTGTGTCTCAATCCTAATGTGTGAGTGTGGGGGCCAGTGGGGAAGGTGGTAAAGGTGCAACTGTCAGGACAGAAGGCTAAGGAGTTGAGATTTCATCCTGTAGACTCCAAGGAGCTTTCTGAATTCTTTAGCCAGGCTAGTAAGGGGGTCACATTGTTACCTTGGCTAAACAAATGATAAGAATCTGGTTGGAGGGAGGACATTTAGGAGGTTGGTTTAAGCACTAGGGAGAGTTGATCAAGGCATTTGAAACAAGGCAGTGGCATGGGGCCCGGAAGGAGCAGAGAGAGATGTGGAAGACTGGGTGAGTGCAAGTGTGTGGTTAGAGGACTGGGGCACAGAGCGGTGTCTAACTAAGCAACCAGGTTAGTGGTTACGCTGTAACCTGGAATAGGGACAAAGAACGGGAAATGGGAGGAGGTGTTCGAAGGGTGTAGAGAAATTCCAAGTGGAGTTGTCTCATAGGTACTAGAGAAGTTAGCTGTTTTTGTCTATTGTGGTAGTATGGCTCATTTTTCATTAAAGCTTTATAGCTGTAAATTCTTGACAGTTTATTTTTTTTTTTATCCTCACCTGAGGACATTTTTCCATTTTTTGTTCAGGTAGAGTGGGAGGGAGAGAGAGGAACAGAGAGAGAGAGAGAAACATCGACGTGAAAGGAACACATCAAGTGGTTGCCACCCGCACAACCGACCAGGGCCGGGGACAAACTGCAACCGAGGTACGCGCCCTTAGCGGGAACCGAACCCGGGTCTCTCAGGACCGCAGGCCGACGCTCTAACCGCTGAGCCAAACCGGCCAGGGCGACAGTTTATTGACTAATAATTTCAGGTCAAATAATTCCACAGTAATTAAAAGCACTATGAAGTATTTATGGAAACTTCTTTTTAAATGTCAAATGTTTGAATTTCAACTGTATAAATATATATGCCAGTCTTCATGTTAATCACGAATAATTCTTTGGTTTAATATATGCCACTGTTTTCTAATTGTATTTCTGTGTTTTTGTTATGACTGGCACCATCATTTTTATTTTATTACCAATTATTGTAAATTCACAACTTTACAGCCTTGATATTTGTAAATCAAGCTTCATATTGGAATAATCCATTCTACTTCAACAGATCTGTAGACATACTTTCTCACAACTAGGAGACAGTGGAGACACAAGTGGACATAGGGCCAGAAAAGCTGAGTTCTAATCCTGACCTCTACCATTAGCTCTTTCTCTCCACCTTTTTGAACATTCATTTTCATACCCATGAAAACGATTGGCCTTAATGGTCTCTAAATTCTCTCCCAGTTCTAAAAGTCTCACATTGGTTCTCCAAAATTTTAGTTTTCAAGAAAAAAAAAAAAATTCTAAAATAAGAAAAGTACTTGCCAGCTCAGTTTAGTGTTTTATTTAATGATGATGTCTTACAAATAAAAGTTGATAATGCAATACTAATAACTAAAGTATTACAGAAATAATTTTAACCTTCAGCATAAATGTTTAAAACTACCCGTTTCTCTAGTGTAGAAAGTGCTATGAGATCCAGAGTCATGGAAGTAGGTAACAGACTGACAAACCTCAGAGGGATGGGGGTGGGAGTGATGGGAAGAGCTAAACCAAAGAACTTACATATATATATGCACAACCAGTTGACACGGCTCTAGGCTGGAGAAGGCAGGAGTGGGGTGGGAGCGCGAAGGAGGGGGTCAGTGAGGGAAAAGGAGGACATCTGTAATGCTTTCAATAATAAAAACGAAAAAGAAAAGAAAGTGCTACAGAGGCCCTTCTTATTCTTCAAGATAAATATTTTCTAGGTCCAGAGGACATGTATTACTATGTTAAGAAAAAGCTTTGTCTCTGAATGACCTTTCAGAATGGTATGTGAAAATGAAGTTTTAGAATTCTGTGTAGCTAAAGCATTTTGATTCAGATGAAAAAAAATTTTAAACTAGAAGTATATGAACTTCTTCTTACATATTATAACCCTTAGGGAAATTGCAAGTAGATTGATTACAGAGAGTTTTTAGAGAGAAAGACCTATGAATATAAAGTATCAAATAGTTAAGCATTCTAAAATAAATTGATTGAATGAGTTTTGTTTATAATAGGGCTAGAACTGTTATTTTTTTTTTAATCTGAAAGATTTATGCCTCCAAGAAATTCGAGTCACTTTGCTTTTGCTATTTTTGTACCTTATAAATAAAAGCTGATGTGATACATAGTATTGTTGAATAAGGAAGTTAAGTAGCCTTAAAGTTGATTAAATCAATTTATCTTAGGAGCAGAGAAGCATTTTCATTGTGAGAGGATAATTGCAGAAAACTTTGAAGAGGGGGGGGAAATGCAGTCTCATAGATGGGATTATCCAAGTGTGACATTGCTGTCAGTCTTTTAAATTGCCTTTGAAATTATTTATTTGGAAGTTTAACAAAAAAAAATATACCTTTGTTACACTGCTGTTGGTTTCAACTCAAGCATTTGATTTTTCTCACAATTGATAACTAGTTTTATGGTATTTTTATTTTTTAAAGACAAAAATTGAAGTATTCAATTTTAGTGAAATTGGAAAACAATCAAGAAGTATGTATTACATTTTTTCTTTTTATGATGCAGTCTATAGTTATTTAGGTCAGGATGTTTATCTTGTCTATTTTGTATTACTAAAAAACTATAGGATTTTTCTCAGAAGCCTCCTGCCATACTTAAAAACTGGTATTAATAAAATAGTGCACATTCTAAATAACAAGGTGGAATATGCAAATATTAAAAATAAAATGGAAGTCTTTTTTAAAATCTGATATATCTGAATCTGATTCATCAGGAAATAATTTCAAGAAGTCACAGTTTTAAATGTAAACTCTTGTGTTTGCTTTTGTTGTGGAACAAGTAAGTCTGATTAAAAATGAAAAGCCAGGGCCTTGGTAAGAGTGGTGGTGAATATTAGCCTGGGATTTCAGCATAAAGGATGCCTGGCATGAGTTTATGTTACCGCTCTTCTGGAGAAAAGGATAGCTTCGTAAGGGAACTCTGTGATGCATAAAACAATCTTTCGTGGACGCTGAAGCTGAGCTGCTTAGCATTTGTCTCACAGTCCCACCTGAGGGCTCCAAGGAGATTTCCAGGGAGTATGGACTGACCCCAAATTAAAATTCTATGCTTACAGGCCAGTGCCACCCAATTTCATGTCCACGAACATCAACCTGCTCAATAAGCTATGAAGGGGCACTAACAGGTCACATTTTAAACTGAAATTAGCAAGTACCTGAAGTTTGCTGCATAATCAAATAAGTCTGGCTGTGCAGATACTTCATTGCCTTTGGGGAGGAACAATGCTTTGATTCAGTGCATCATCAGGGTCATTTTGAGCTGGGTAGGGTTTTTCCAATTGCTGCTATTGTTTTTTGTTTGTTTTGTTACAAATTACTATTGGTTTTGTTTTTTGTTTTTTTTAATCCTCACTCGAGGACATTTTTGCATTTATCTTCAAATAGAGCAGGAAGGAGAGAGAGAGAACAGAGAAGAGAAACATTGATGTGAGAGAGACACATTGACTGGTTGCTACCCCCACAACCCCAACGGGCCAGGGACGAACTGCAACCAAGGTACGTGCCCTTAGCGGGAGCCGAACCCAGGATTCTCTGGTCCGAAGGTCAGTGCTTTAACCGCTGAGCAAAACCAGCTAGGGCTGTTGGGTTGGTTTTATAGTAGTTCAGTTTTTTGTAGATTTGTTCATCCTCAGAGTAAGTCATGATGTTTTTTTAGGCCTGTAAGTTTTTAATAACCAGAATTAAAAATAGAGGCCACTTACTGTCAGGCCACAAACACAGTAATGTTTTGTACCAAGAACTGATGCAGCCACAGGAAGAGTGAAAGGTAGGGTTGTCTTAGACAAGCCAGGACTTCACACCCAGACGGTTGTCTCTCCTCTATCTTCTGCTTCTTTTCACCATTCATTTAGCTCACTTTGCAGAGTCTAACCTGCTACTGTCTTTAGCTCTGAAGTTGTAGGCACAGGTGAATAAAAGAAGCCTCTACTATCCAGGGGCTCACAGATTAATAGGCAGATAGACATGTAAGTGAAATAAATGTAATGTAACATGGATGACAGCTGAAGTGCATGCAAGGTCTAGAGACTGCATAGGAAAGGGCAGTCTGCTCTGGCAAGGTTGCCCAGGGAGGGACCCAGATAGGAAATGTCACTGTAGCTGGGACTAAACATATATTTAACAGATTCTAATCAACTTTGGAGGTACAGAATGGGGAGGAGATTATAGGACAAGAGACTGGCATAGGCAGACACAGGTAAACACACACAGACTACCAGGGCTCATTGGGCCTGCTGGTGGTTTATTTATTATTAAAGGGGATGTTGAAGAAGCAGGAACAGCAGGAAGATAGATATACCTGTGTTGGCTATATTTTCGTGAAGGAGACACTCTTCACATCAGGAAATATATAGTGCTATAACTTTTTGGCAAGTCTGAATGTAATCTATATCAAGAGTCTTAATTCAAAAAAGACCCAGGACATTATAGTAAGGAAGTAAGATGTCCATAAAGTTTTCTATTCAGGGATATTTAAAATAGCAGAAAAACAAAAGGCGGGGATGGAAGGAAAAGCAAATAGCAGGACCTACCAGGAGCTGCAGACGTAGCAGCAACTAAAGTCTCTGCTCTCAAGAAGTTTACATTGTGGCCAGATTGGGGGTAAGACAAGAGAGGCTGTTGCATAGAAAATAAGCAATTAAAATTGTATCATGACAGATGAAGAGAAGTATTTTGAAGACTAATGAAATAGGCTGGGGGATTGTGAGTGACAGAAAGTGGTGCTATTTTAGATACAATCATCAGGGAAGGAGAGTTGATGTTTGGGTAGAGACCCGAATAAAGTCAGGGAACAAGTCATGTAAAAATCTGGCAGAAAAGCATTCCAGGCAGGGGGAACAGTATGTGCAAAGGACCTGAGGCCATTGTTTAATTGTCCATTGTTTTTGGACAAGGAAAGAATGCATTGTCCCTGAAGTGGAATGAGCCAAGACAAGAACAGTAGATGAGGTCAGTTTGTGTAGAACCTTGTAAACTATGGTAAGGACTTAGGACTTGGTTCTGCATGAGGTGGAAGCCATTGTAGAGTCACATGAGATAGCTTTAGTGTTAAAAGGGACGTGCCAGCCTGTGAATGGAGAACAGACCAGGGGTCAGGAATGTGGGATTTTAGAGACTAGTTTAGGAGTCTCTTGAATTAATCCAAGCAAAAGATGGTTGGGTGAAGTGAGGGTGAGAAGTAGTTGATGCGGGCTCTATTTTCAAATAGTCCACATGAATTGCTGGTGGATGGGACATGAGATGTGAGAAAGAAGAGTCAAAGGTGACCATGAGATTTTTGGTCCAACAGAAGAAGTACGGAGTTGCCATTTATTGAGATTTGGAACAGAAGAGGAAGGCAGGCTTGTCCGGGCAGGGGAGAATCGAGTTCAGTTTTAGACCACTTAAAATTAATGTTACTATGCGACTTTAAAGAGAGATATGGAGTTGGCAGTTGGACATAGGAATTTGTAGTTCAGAGTAGAATTTGGGATTGAAGTTACAAATGTGGGGCCAGTAGCATAATGAAGGAACCTAGAGGTAGTGACTAGAGGCCACGTGCAAGGAGATAGTGGTCACCTGTGCCAAACATTACTGATGGAGCCAATAAAATGAGTATTGACCAGTGTACTTGACCACATGGAGACATTGTGATCTTGACATACACTTTCCATTGAGTTTTACGGTATGAAAGCACCTGATTCAAGTTGGTTTGGGAGAAACATGGGAGAGAAAATAGACTCAGAAAGTATTTCAGGGAGTGGTGTTGTAAGGGGGATCAGAACGATTAGCTAAAGGAGACTGGCTAAGGAAAAACTTGTTTTAACATGAGTTTTTGTGATATCTTTGTGTACTAATAGGAAAGTTTCAGTAGAAGGGGGCAATTAATGATTAAGAAGACAATGGGGACCATTTTAGGAGTAAAGCTGTTGAATAGATGAGAGAGGTTAGGAATAAGTACACAGTGAAGCTATGGCTTTTAGGAGCATGTTCATCTGTCATTGTGATTCCCAGCCCTTTTCATATCACAATTATATGGAGTACTTTAAAAAAATAAATACTGACGCCTGGATGCCACATTAGACCAGTGAAGTTACAATCTCCAAGCTGAGGGCCCCGGGCATCGGCACTTTCTGAATGCTCCCCTTGTGCATCTCCAGCAGCATGGAGTAGGTGGGGGAAGGACAATATATAAGGGCTGGTGCAGACAGTTAGATGGATTAGGTGACAAGAGTAGGGGAGTGCTCTTGGTTCTTCTGTATTTTTGCAGTGAAATAAGTTACATAATCAGCTCAGAGGGGAGAGGAGGAGGGAATAGTGCTGGAGGATTTAAAAGGGGAAGTGACATAGTTGCCTTGGAGAGTGTGAGGATTTAACCAGGGGGAGGGAAATATAGGTTGGCCAGGCCACATTTGAGATTGACTTTGAAGTTTGTGTTCATATATCTTAATGTGACCTACCACATTGTCTTCTAGCTGCTTGGAAACAGATGCAGAGTAGACAGAGTTGAATTTTTGAGGCTTGGGGTTCTTGATAGTCTCTAGTGAAAATGCAAATATTAGAACTCTGTTTTTTTTCCTACAGAAAAAAGGTCGTTTCCCATGTACTGTATATGGGCTACATTATACATATGGTTGGATCCTACATGTAATGAATTATAGGTGAAAATCTCACCTCCCTTCGGTAAGGGAGACAGGGTACTCTTTCTTCATTAGGGGAACAGAGTACTCTGTGATTTGTTTTCTGGTATGTTAATAACTTGGTTTAGATCTCTGCATTAAACCCCACCTTTAATATGTAATGTGTTATTTATGTGTGCTGCTTTTCCTCTAGAAATCCCCATCCATATTGGAATTTTACAAAGAAGTTGGATTGCCACCAAAACAGAAAATTAAAATATTTCGAGTAACAGATAATGCTGTAATTAAGCCAGGTAATCTAAGGTCGGGGAGAGGAGGGAGGTAAAAATACCCAAATATATGATTTATTTAATGTCAGCCCTTTTAATAAAGCTGAATCCACAGTACAAAGTCCCAAGTACTTATTTTTAAATATAAAAAAGTATCTGATTTAAACTAGAGACAAACAAGTATTTCTTTTTTCAGTGAAAAGAACTGTAGAGAGCTCTTTGTTTTCCATGAAAGAAGGAGGAACACTTTTATTTCTGATGTACAGAGTTTCACATTTGGAAAAGCCTCTCAAAATAAATAGATCAACTTATAAATGTGAAGTTTACTGTTTGTAGGCTGGCATTTTATTAAGTGGAGAATTGCTATAATCTCGCTGAGATAAAAAAAATTTGAAAAAAATATAGCCTGAAATTGGATAGTGACCAACCATAGCATTTTGATGTATGTAAAGGTTATTACTTAAAAATTTTGAAGTATTTTACTTACTCCACAGAATGTCAGAAAGTGAGATTTGGCAATATGATGATATTGGTTCATGTAATTAACAGGGCTTGGTGTCTTTAAACTTGAGAAGAGCCCTCAGATCTCAAACTTGAGTTCTAACAAGTAAACAGTAGAAGAATGTTTTAAGATATTTTTATTTTAATATATGAACAGAATTTTTTGAAGTAAAATACAGTTGTAATAGACCATATTAATTGGAGTGACAGATGGTCAGCTTTGCTATAAGTTAGATTAAAAGGTATTTATTGACATGCAAGTTGTGCAGTTAAGTGGACTTAAACCAACAATGAAGTCCACATTAACTTCTGCTGTAGCAAAGCATGTGAAATTGTTTTTACGGGTGAAAAATAGTCAAATATCGGCAGGTCAGGTTAGTTAACCTCATAGAAATTCAGTAAATTTTAAACTCCCCTGTTTTTTCTTGTTTTAATTTTATTTTTAATTACAGTTTACATTCAATATTATTTTATATCAGGTATAAACAATGGTTAGACAATCACGTACTTTATAAAGTGATTCCCCTGATATTTCAGTTACCTACCTGGCACCATACATAGTTACTACAGTATTATTGACTATAGACTATATTCACTGTGCTATACTTTACATCCCCATGACTGTTCTGTGACTGCCAATTTGTACCTCTTAATCCCTTCACCTTTTTCACCTAGTCCCCTAACCCCCTCCCATCTGGCAACCATTAGTCTGTTCTCTGCAACTATAGGTCTGTTTCTATTTTGTTTTTTTATTTTGTTCTTTAAATTCCATATATATGTGAAATCATTTGGTATTTATCTTTCTGATATATTTCACTAAGCATAGTACCCTCTAGGTCCATCCCTGCTGTTGCAAATTCCCCTAGTTTTTCTTAATTCAAGTTTTTTCTCTGTTCGTACAAATCCAGGGTAGGTGCTGCCTTACAGGATACTACCCTCTGGAATCCTACAGCACTTGACTACCTGTTTTAAACAAGTGAACAGAAATTATCTTCCCATTACATTCTCTACCACATTGGTTCCAGCTTTTTAAAATTATTTTAATTTAAAAAGTGTTTTTTTAATTTAAGTATACTTGGTATACATTATTATATTAGTTGTATTTGTTTCACATGTACAATGTAGTGATTTAACGTTTTTATACCTTACAGTGTGATTACCCCACTAATTCTAGTAATTGTTTGTTACTGTACATACTTATCAAGTGTTATTGACTCTGTTTCCCTTCACCTTTGTCACCCATCTCCCTACCCTTCTTTTCTCCTAACCATTCCTTCGGTCTGTTTCTCTGAGTCTATTTTTGTTTTGTTTGTTCTTTTGTTTCCTTTATAGATTCCACATGTTAGTGAAACCATATGGTATTTGTCTTTCTCCCCCTGACTTATTTTACTTGGCATAATGCCCTCTAGACCCCTCCATGTTGCAAATAGCAAGATTTTATTCTCTTTCATTCCTGCCTAATATTCCATTGTATATATATATATATACAATATCTTTGTTATCTATTGATCAGTGGACACCTAGGCTACTTCTATATCGTGGCAATTGTAAATAATGCTGGAATGAACAGAGGGATGTATATATCTTTTTGAATTAGTGTTTTAATTTTCTTTTGATAAATCCCAGAAGTGGAATTTCTGGGTGGCACGGTATATCTATCTTTAGTATTTCTGAGGAATCTTCACAGTGGCTGCACCAGTTTGCAGTCCCACCAATAATGCACCGGTTTCCCTTTTCTCCTCATCCTCACCAACACTTCTTTTCTGTTGACTTTGATAGTAACCATCCTGAATGGTATGAGGTGGGTTCTTACTGTGGTTTTGATTTACATTTCTCTGGTGATTAGTGCTGTTGAGCATCTTTTCATATGTCCATTGGCCATCTATATGTCTTCTTTGGAGAAGTATCTTTTCATGTCCTTTTATTTGATGATGTAATGTTGATTCTTCCTTAGAATAAATTCTTTTTTAATTGAATTTATTGGAGTAACACTGGTTAACAGAATTATATAGGTTTCAGATGTACAAGTCTATAACACATCATTAGTATACTGTGTTGTGTGTTCACCATCCCAAGTCAAGTCTCCGTTCATCACTATTTAACCTCTTTATACTCTCCTCCACCTCTCCCACCCCTCCTTAGGTAATAAGTTCTTGAGGTCATGTCTTATACTTTGTATTTCAAACTTTACATATTGTAAGAGCCCTTTAAATGTTTAGAGATTAATTGATAAATTAAGTAGTTCTTACAAGTATTAATTCCACATTTATATAAACAAAATATTGTGAAGAGCTTTGAGCTACAAGATACCATTAAATAACATTTCTCAAGTGCATTTAAACTAAGCTTTTATCTAAATACAACTAGTTTTAGAAATATTAGTATATAAAATTTGGAGTATCTGTAGTAGTAGTGTTTTGCTATTCCATATATCTGAGCACATGCTGAATAACTATATTTTATTGGAATAATGACCAGTCTACCAAAAATCCAATATGTATGGGCTTTATAGGGACATTTACATACCATAATTATTACCCAGAGAACAGTGGACCTGTCAAGTTTCTATTTTACATCATTTATCTCCGATGGGTAAAAAAGGATATGATCTAGCCCCAACATTTTTGGTCATTCTCTTTTTATTATTCTTACATAAAATAGGTAATATACCTTAACTTAGTATATTGTTACCAGAATGACCAAGAATCATCCAACTCGTGTATTTACCGCAGGAAACACTGTGTTGTCTCAGGAATTGCCCATGTCAGGCAGCACCACGTTGACTGCTGTGAAGGCACACTGTCAGCCAGCTGTGGTCCGCAGGCTCGCTCGAGCGCTGAGTCCCTCGACTGGGCATATTCTTTAGCCCATGTAGTCAGTTGAAGCATGTTGAATAATTTTATTGTCTTATAGTTGGTGTTTCTGCATTGTTATAATTACAAAATAGAGTCTCCTACCATTTTTGAAATCTGTTATCTAGAAGGCTTACTGGGTATAGTTTATGTTTGGTGAAGTTATATCTGGGCAGACAGACTTCATATTGATTTTTTGTTTTTGTTTTTTTCATAAAGGTACTCCTCTTTATGCTGCTCACTTTCGCCCAGGACAGTATGTGGATGTCACAGCCAAAACGTAAGTCCATATAACGTGTTCTCTTTTCCTGTTGTTTTCCTCATATTTTAAACAAGAGCAGAGCTAGTGAAAGAAGTACAGCTTTCAAGTGAGTGAATAAAGAATAAATAACCATTATTCTCATTCATAATTCTATCTTTAATGTTACTGACTGTATTGTTTTTTAAATTTTATTGAATTAGTTGTGTGTGAAGAGCTCATATCAGGTTATAGCTTTTATCAATAGATGTATGCTTCTTGAAATGGGTCTAAGAGAAAGGTCACATTACTTGGGTTTTTTGTGAGCTGGGCCCACTTGTATTTTGAATACCAAAGGCTATCTACAATTTGATGGTGAAATATACATGAGCAACTGCTATGGAGTTCTTTTGAGATTATTGTGTATTCTAGTAATTGGCACTTCTTTCCAATTCTAGGAAATAGTTAAATTGGAAACATTTTATACCATTTGTGATAGTGGTTCTTGTGCTTATGGTTCTCCTTAGGTAACTATAAAACATTTTTGTAACTGTGCTAAAAGCCTAGTAGGATCAGGAAGAAAAAATAGTATTACACCTTAAGCCTCTTAAGGAGTATGACATTATCTCTCAATACTAGATAAGTGACACTTCTTCCATAAAAGCAAATTTTTTAATATCCTTAAACAAGGGTTTAATTTGGTGCAAATTAACACTGAATTGTCAGTGTAATAGAAATGCTGACTCTGATGAGTTCTATTTAGACTGAGTAGTGATGTTTTTGGCACCTTAGTTTCTAATCTGTCATCTATCAGATGGCTTAAGTTCAGTACTGGCTAGATGATCTCCAGGAAACATTTAGATTGTATAGAAGTAATTTCTCAAAAATTAGCTAAGGTTACCTCTTTATGGAATGAGGTAATTGAACCCTAATATGTGTTTATGTAGAAAGTGTTCAATGTAGGTTATTAGAATCTACATGACCTAGGCTAAAGAAACTGCAGATATCAGCTCTTGTCCATTCCTGTTTCCCGTTCTATCAACACAGATGACAATTTTACTTATTTAAGTGCCTCGGTTTTCTTTTTGTCATTTGACAAAGTCTGTGGCCTGTGTTCCAGGAATATTCTGGCTAGGAACCCTTTATTGCTTTTAAATTTATTTTGTATTGTTGACAGCATCATAGATGTCCCCCATTCCTCCTCCTTTTGCCCCACCTCCACCCCAGGGCTTTACCTCACTATTGTCTGCACTAGGAGCCCTTTAGAAGTGAACCGTAGTCCACAGGTGCTCTGGGATAGTGTGAAGATTAGTGACTGAGCCAAAGCAGCTTTTATCAGAGGAAATCAGATGAGTGTCAGCATCAGTCTCCTTAACACAGTGAAATGCATTTTCATTTCCACACCAGTATTGCCTACTTTCCAATGTGAGCCACTGCAAACAGCTTCTAAGGTGCCTTTACCTTTGACAAGTTGTTTAGAAATGGAGTGGGATAGATTGGCAGTAGAATGAGTCCTCTTTTTAGAGAGATTACGAACCTCTCCCTATTTTTCCCTGTTCCTTGATTGTTGAGGACTTATTATACCTACTTACTGGGACCTCTACAATCACTGGTTGCTTGGTAACTTTGTTTATTCTGCCTTCTCTTGTCAAGAACTCAAATATTGCGGCTGTAAAGCTTTGGTTTGGTCAGTTGGGAGATGTGTGTGTTCTAAATTAGATTATTTTACTTTTTTCATTTCTGAATTTATTATTACATATATTAAAATAGCTCACAGTAATTCTGTAAATTTAAATACAATTAATAGTGTGTGAACTCCATTACATATTTTATAGATTATATGGGATAATCTGAGAAACCCTGCAAGTCAGAGGCCTGTTAGCTGATGCCTTATAGGATTTGTGACTGGCTTGGATTAGAGCCAAGCTTTTCAAATGCCTGTATTTAGTAAAGCTTTCAGCTTTCATTTCATATGCTACTGTTGGGTTTCCTTGGCTTCTTAAAAGTTATTTTTAAATGCCCTGGTTGGTGTGGCTCAGTTGGTTAGGTGTAGTCCTGTTTAATTAAAAGGTTTCCAGTTTAATTCCTGGTCAGGGCACATACCTGGGTTTCGGGCTCCATCCCCCCATAGAGGGCATGCAGGAGGCAGCTGATCAATGTTTCCCTTCTCACATCGATGTTTCTCTCTCTCTTTCTCCCTCTCCCTTCCTCTCTCTCTAAAAATCAACTTAAGTTATTTTTAAAACTTGTGAGTATAAACCGAAAGGGGAAGTATTTTGTTTTTTTGTTTGTTTTAAGATCATATACCTAGAAAATAAGATTAAGGAAAGCCATATACCAGTCTCAGGACTAGAAAGCTGATAAGAGCTAGGAGAATAACTAGCTCTGAGATTTAATGTAGCTGACATTTGACTCTGGAGAAGGGAGGACCCGTATTTGAAAAGATCTCTCAATTGTATGGGCTGCGATACAGTATTGTGTTTGACTTTCACTGTATACCAGTTGGGAGGAGGATTACCCCCACATATGAGTGCACTGAACTCTGGTGTGCATACCTTCACCTGTGGTATTGCCTGAGATCAGAATGAAATGCAGTTTATTTGACTTTTGCTAAGTGTTTCTGATAACTATAGCTCTTGTAACTGGCATGTTATTACAGTCTCAGGATGCTAGTAAGTGCTTGTAAGTTTGTAGGACTCTTTGTCCTTCTCATGTGGAGCTGTTTTGAATTCCTTTTGGGTATAGCATTGAATCCTCAGCTGCATACAGACCTAGGTGCTGCTGCCTCTTCTCTTTGCCACTGACTTCGCTGGGTTTGGGGTGGGTGGGAGTATGGGTGCAGGTATGTATTTTTTTCTTTTAAAATTCTTCTATCTCCTTTTCCTGATGCTTCTCATTTTTTGGGCAGTTCACTGCTTGGAGTTTAAGTCCTTCATGGCCAATGAGAATTTTTTTTTTCTTGTTAACTGTAAATGGAACCATCATCTTCTGAGAGTAGGCTCTGAGTGCTCAGTCCATTACTATGGCTCATTACAGCCAGAAATTAACTACCTTGTCCTCCATTTCCAGCCCCTGTTTTAAAATTTTGAAACTTCTGGGCTCCGTCTTCTTGATTATTAACACTGTTAATAGTCTAAGTAAAATAGTCTAAGAGGAAAAAATTGTGTAGTAACATGGTTAGGTAAGATGATGAGGGATGTGGATTTATAGACTGGAGCATTGGTCCTCACACTTGAGTGGACCTCAGAATCTCCAGGAGGGCTTCTGATTCAGTAGATCTGGGGTAGTACCTAAGAATCGGCATTTCTCACAAGTTCCCAGGTTATGTGGCTGCTATTAGTCCAGGGACCACACTTTGCAAACCACTGGACTGGACAATAGTCAAGGGCTCACCTGTGGAACCACTTTCCCTTCCCACCTCTCAGCCCAGCACAGAATCCTAGTACCTTTCTTCCTTACTGCTACTCAAATTATAGCATACAAACATCTGTTTTAAAGCAAATGAGTTTAATCAATCCAGTTTCAAATAACATTATCAATAAAATTTGGCCTGTTTATTATTCACATTTTAGTTAGCATGAAATGGAAAATTGGTCTCTTTAGTAATTGGCTTCATTATTTCCACTCCCATAGAAAAGAGAAAAACCTCAAATTGATCTCTAATTGAATTCTTCATTTTTATCATGCTATAATAATTATATTTAATTGTAAAATTTACACTTATATTTTTAATATTTGAAATCCTTTTTACCATCAGTTTTAATTGCTGGATTAAATATACTTTAGAAATAACTAAGAAAATTTAAAACAAAAATATAATTTAAGAAAATAGTGTTAATAGAATCCGTCTACTTCAAGAACGAAATTGCCTGCAAACATTGTAAAGTGACCAGTAACCAACAGTAGCAGCCTCTTCTTGAAGACTTCCCTTAAAATTTTTAAATGTTTCTCTTGTAATAATTGCATTGTGAAATCTGCTTACTTTGAAAGATACATTGTGTTTACCTGTGCTGAATTTGGGTATAAGTTTCCATATAAATAAGTAAATTTACCTGTGTCACTGTGGAGTGTGAGGTGAACACATAGTTGTCAGAATTCATTTTAATTTTTGCTTATACCAGAAACATATTTTTAAAGGGTCTGAGAATATAAATTCAAATTAGGTTATATGGGAAAGATTTTTTTTTTCATCTAGAATATAACCATTCTAGCAGAAGAATTTTTTACAAATTTATTATGCTATTAATAGATAATAAAGCCCAGTCTTTGAAATATGGTCATTTTATATAATTCACTCAAAATAAAACTTTAGCATGTATAATGATGTGTTTTCCACACCACCACCATCCCCCTACCTTAGTACTCTTTGACAGTTTATATTCTTACTCTGTAATGGTGATTATATTCCAGTATAACTTCTAATAGATTATGGTTTTGGGGGGTCTGATGTTTTCTCTTTTTTTTCTCCCTCTCAATATCGAAGAGGAAACAGCTATAGATAATATGTAAAGAGTGAGTGAGATGAGGTATGACTGTTGATTCTCATTCTCAACATAAAATGCTTAGCCCGTTGTTTTCTGTTGAATCCTAGAGAGGCTTATTATAATTCGTAGGGGTTTTTTGTTTTGATTTTTAAAGAAAGAAATTAGGAAAGAATGAAACAAAGAGTAAACAAAAAGAAAACTAAAAATGCATTCTGCATTGTTTAAGGCAAAATATTAAGTCTCTGTCTCAAAGGACTTGAAGGACACAGAGGTGATGAATTCCATCATAACAATGGCCAAGGGGCACTTTCCTGCCAATTGTCTTATTGAGCTTTGAGCTCATGATAGTGGCACACCTGGTTGTCTGGAATTTATTTATTTATTTACAGTTTGAAGCCCAGATTGAAGTCAGAAAACATCTCCTTCAGCTACTTAAAATACTTTTTTCTTTCTGAATGGACAACCTAAAAATCTTGTATACCAGTCTGGACTAATTAAAACAACACATATATTTTCAAGCATAATCTTACTACTTTAATAGCAATTTCTGGCGTAATC